GGGGGTTGAGTTAAAGACAGTTTAACAGGTAGAGCAAAACAAGGAATTCCTTCACTGCTTCCCATCGGCAGGCAGGTGTTCGGCTACCTCCAGGAACGCAGGGCTCCATCACAACAAGTTACTTGAGAAAACAAACATCGTAACACCAAATGTGCCCCTCTTCTTTCTTCTTCCCCCAGCATTATACACTGAGCATGACATCATAGAATCATAGAATGGTTTAGGTTGGAAGGGACCTTGAAGATCATTGAGTTCCAACTCGCTGCCGTAGGCAGGGACCCCTCCCACTAGACGAGGTTGCTCAACGCCCCGTCCAGCCTGGCCTTGAACACCTCCAGGGATGGGGTATCCACAACTTCTCTGGGCAACCTGTTCCAGTGTCTCACCACCCTCAGAGTGAAGAATTTCTTCCTAATGCTTAATCTAAACCTGATCTCTTCCAGTTTGAAGCCATTCCTACTTGTCCTATCATTACACGCCCTTGTAAAAAGTCCTTCCCCAGCTCTTCTGTAGGCCCCCTTTAGGCACTAGAAGGCCGCAATAAGGTCTCCCCGGAGCTTTCTCTTCTCCAGGATGAACAGCCCCAACTCTCTCAGCCCATCCTCTTGGGAGAGGTGTTCCAGCCTTCATATGGCACGAACTATTCCTTTGGTCAGTTGGTGTCAGCTATCCCGGCTGTGTTGCCTCCCAGCCCTTTGTGCAGTCCCAGCCTACTCACTGGCGGGGCAGCATGAGGAGCGGAAAAGGCCTTGAGTGCTCAGCAACACCCAAAACCATTGGTGGGCTATCAACAGCATTCTCATTCCAAATCCAAAATACAGCGCCCTACCAGCTGCTCATAAGAAAGTCAACTCTATCCCAGCTGAAATTACAACAGTTCCTCAAACCCAACTATCAAGCACTTTTATTTGGTGGGGGTGAGCACCTGGAGTGCTCTTAGCCAAATCTGAAGCTGCACTGGAGATGGGAGCGTGGATGGGCAAGGGTAATCACAGAATCACAGAACGATCAGGGTTGGAAGGGACCTCTGGAGATCATCCAGTCCAACCCCCCCTGCCAGAGCAGGGGCACCTACAGCAGTTGCACAGGACGGTGTCCAGGTGGGTTTGGAATGTCTCCAGAGTGGGAAACTCCACAACCTCTCTGGGCA